TACATGTGATGTCAAAGTCCGAAGGCGGTGTCTACTCACTACCGCCGATATATACACACACACAAACAGACGCGCGTGTATCGCAGCTCGGGTTCTTCTTTGCACTCGTCGCACTTCGACTGAACGATCGTAAACAGACTTTAATATATATAAGTATATGTAACACTACATATATTTTTTGTATATATATAACTGCCAACAATTCACGTACGAAATACAAAATACTACACGATTTCAGTGAGTAAATATAACAATTTTGAAAGTCTACAATAAAATTATTATTATCTTTTGTAATGTGCCTTTAACGTCGATCGTAATCATAAGTGATCGGGGGTCGGTCGAGTCTCTTCGATCGCTTCCGAAGAAAACGTCGACCGAGGGCACTCCCGGCTCGGCCGTCGTTCTCGCATCTAGGAACCCGCGTGCGATGCGTCGTCTGTCGTATCACATAATCCTGCGCTCGGTTCGAGCTCGAGTCCAGATCGGGGGAGAGACGGGGTTCAGCGGCGGCGGCGACGGCGACGTCCGCGTCGTCTACGGGGGCCGGCCGCGGCCGCGTCCGGGGCGGGCGCGACGTCGCGGCCGGCGGCCGGCGGCTAGTGGGCGGCGAGGATCTCGGACACGCGGTCGGCGATGACGCGCGCGGCGTCGCCCGCCAGGATGGTGCGGTGGTTGCCGGGCAGCTGCTGCGTGTGCAGCGCGCCGGCGCACACCTCGCGCAGTCCGTAGTCGTCGCCCAGCGTCACGTAGTTGTCCCGCGCGCTGAACAGCACCACGGGCGCGCCCAGCCGCCGCGCCGGCCGGTACGAGTCCGCGATCACCAGTTTGCGGTAGAAGGACTCGGCGGCGGCCGCCAGGTCCGCGCTCGAGTGGGCAGTGGCGCCGCCCAGCAGCGCGGTGGCCCGCTGCACGCGCGCCTCCCAGCTGGGCAGCCGCTCCAGCTCGCTCGCCACCTGCGAGGGCGCGGACGGCCGACGTCAATATATGGATACCGATCGATCACCGGGACGTCTTCGGATCGATATATATGTACGTATATATGTATTCTTACCTGGGCGAGATCGACCTCTTTGAATTGCTGCACGAAGTAAGCGAGCCCGTTGGCTTCGTTGGTGCTGGCGGTCGGCTCGGAACTCTTCTTTTTGCCGCGAGTCGTGTGCGTCGCCAGATACGCCGGCGAACCGTCCACGAGCACCAGGCGAGACGCGCAGTTCTCCTGGCGGAGCAGAATATATCGTATAGGTCACTACGTGAAAAAAAAAGGACGACACGACCCGGTCGTTCGGCGGCCAAAGAAAGTCAAAGTCGACATATCTTTATTCATATAGACTTCTTAAAAGTACCTTTGAATCGATTTTTACATTCTAGTTTATGGTTTGAAAATAAACGGAATCGCCGAGGGAGCACTCACCCGCTCGAGCTGAAGCGCCATCTCGAAGGCGACGCCCGCGCCGAACGAGTAGCCGAGGAGCGTGTACGGCGGCTGCGGCTGCACGGCGCGCACGTGGGAGATGTAGAACCGCGCGAGCGCCGCCATGTCCGTGAGGGGGGCCGTCTGCGTGCACTGCAGCCCGAACACCGCCCCCCGCACCGCCGCCGCCACGCCGCGCAGCACGTCCACTACGCCCTCGATGGGGTGCAACATGAACACGCGGGCCCCACCCGCGCCCCCCGCGCTCGGCAGCTGCACCATCACCTGCCTCGGCACCAACTCGCCCAGCGTCGACAGCTGCACCAGCACTCCGTCCGCGTCCGCGTCCGCTGCCGCTTCCGCGCCCGCTCCCGCCTCCGCGCTCTCCTCGGAGCCGCCGCCGCCCGCGCCGCCGCCGGACATCTCGTGCAGCTTCGCGAACGTGAGACCGCGGATCTCTTGCACGCCGAGCACGACGTCGAAGCTGCGTTCGAGCGTCTGCTTGATCTCGGCGCCCATAAGCGAGTCCATGCCGAGTTCGGCGAGGTTCGCCGTGTCGGGCACTTTTGTGGGGTCCTTGATGCCTGCGCAAGAGGAGGATCGCGTGAGTCTTCACCCCCGGGCGCGGTTCCAGAGGCCGGGAGAGGCCGAGACGAGGTCACTCACCGAGCACGTTGGCGACGACCTGTACGAGGTCCTGCGCGGGCGCGGCGCTGCGACGCTGCTTGTCCGCCAGCACCATGGAAGCGGCAACCGGGTGCGGCAGCGCCAGCAGCGTGCCCAGCGCCTCCATGCACGACGAGATGCGCTGCGGCAGAGTGCCGCCTACCACCGTTTCGTCCCCGCCCATCTGTTCCACGATCATGCCCACTTCCCCTGCGAACGATAATACGACCCGACTTTTAAATGACCGAATCGTCGTTTTATTAGTTATATTTTCATCGAGCCGAAGTCTCGACGACCGGTCCTCCGTCGAACGAAACGGACCGACGGAGGCGCTCACCCGGGCGCTTCTCCCTGAATATTTTTAAACTCGGGGCCGAAAGAAGGGACACGAACGACCCGCTCACCTATCGCTCCCCACTGAACGGCGAGGCCGGGCAGACCATCAGCCTGGCGCCTCTCGACGATCCGCTCCATGACCGAGTTCGCGTAGCCGTAGTTGGACTGGCCCGCGTTGCCGCGACCGCACGACACCGACGAGAAGACCACGAAGTACTCCAGCTCCGGGGCCAGTTCGCGGGTCGCCGCGTCCAGCATCCGCGTACCTGCACAGAAGAGTCGATCGGTCATCCCGGGGCCGGGCGAGACGAGCGGGTGCCCCGGAGCCCGGCCACTCACCGTCCACCTTCGGCTTCGCGACCACCTGGAAATCTTCCGGAGTCTGGTTTTCGAGATAGGCGTCGCGGAGGACGGCGGCCAAGTTGAAGACGCCCCCGACGGGGCCCAGCGCGGCGGCCTCCCGCACGAGGGCCCGCGCGCCGTCCGCCGCGGTGACGTCGGCCGTGGACACGAGCACGCGCACGCCGGCCTGCCGCAGCCGCTTGACGCACCAGGCCTGGTAGCCGGTGCGCACCCCGCTCCGCGACACGAACACCAGATTGCGGGCGCCACGCGCCGCCAGCCAGAAGCCCAGCTCCAGCCCGAAGCCGCCGAGCCCGCCCACCAGCACGTAGCTCTTGCCGGGGTGCATGTACGTGCGCGGGAGGGCCGACACCAGCTTGCCGGCGGGCCTCGCGCTGCCGCTCTCCTCCTCCTGCACGCGCAGCACGACCTTGCCGATGTGCTTGCCGGTGGCCATGTACCTACGACCAGTTTTTATGTTATAGTTTCCCTCAAAATCCAAAACAGTTTAATTCTCCATATACAGCTCTGGACGTCGCGTCGGTAGTCGTTGCCGTCGCGGTGGAGAGCTCCGCATTATGGAAAGAGAGCACAGAGAGCCTCGAAACCGACCACCACAAGCGTTCACGTCGAGCGAACTAAATTTGTTATTCGGTATATTTAAAGAACTTTATTTTATATATTTTTTAAGGAATTATCACTACCGCTTAGATTAAACAATAAACACATAACCATAGAGTTCCATTATTTTTCAAAACTTAAAATGTGATACAATCAATTCTCTTTTGTTGCACGGACGGTGCGGACGTTCCGTCGCTACGCATTAATAGGTATTCTATCAGTATCGACAAAATTAAATTTTTAACCTGTCTAAAATGATATGTTCCAAGTGTAATGTATCGGTTACTGATTTCGTCGCCTGCTGTGGGGGATTGTGTGGCGGAAGGTATCACTATCATTGTGCTGGAGTGGCCGAATCTACCTACAGGAAAATGGGCCATGAAAAGAAGACTGCTTGGCGCTGTGTAACGTGCCGGGCGTCAACCCCTAATGAGTCTATAGCCGAATTAATTAAAGATTTCAGAACCGACTTCGCCTCACTGAAGAATGACTTAATAATTTTAAAAGATGATCTTCGCAATGCGCTACAAAATATTTCCGAATTGAATTCTAAGTGGAGTGACCTTGAGGTACGTGCGGATGGAATGGATGAACGCATAATAATTGTTGAAAAAAAAGTTAGTGAGCTGGCTGTTGTTCAAGACAAATTAACGGTTACTCAGCGTATACTAGACGAATTAAGAAAAGTTAATAATCAACAAGATCAGTTTTCTAGATTAAACAATATAGAAATTCAAGGTATTCTAGGTAGGAAATCTAAGAAAAATGGCGAAAATCTAATATCCATTCTCCATGATATTGGCATGAAAGTGGGTATGGAAATTCTACAGACCGACATCGACACTATCCATCGTGTACAACCGTTCCGTCGTGAGGGTAAAATGGATACTCGCCACCCATCCATTATCGTGCGCTTCACACAACGTCAACGTAAGAATCAGCTTATAGGAGCGGTGCGGGCGCGGCGCGGAATAACTACAACCGACATCGGAATGTCTGGAGCGGCTTCTAATATTTTTATTAATGAACACCTCACTCCGGCTAATAAACTTCTACTCAAACGTGCTCGCGAGTTAAAAACCGCGTTAAATTATGATTATCTTTGGATCAGAGACTCTAAGATATTTATTCGCAAAAATGACAAGTCTTCTGTAATAAGAATCGAAAATGAGTCTGATCTATCTAAGTTAAAGTGACTACGTGTTTTAATTTTCTATCAGAATATTTTTACTAAGTTAATCCATACAAATTGCTTCACGTTCACTTTCATTGGAGAAGCTGTTTGTTTGATGTGTAGGTTAAGTTTATTCGATATCATCACCATTGTTAATAGTAAGCAATTAAATTAATTTTGTTAGTACTCGTATTTAGTAATGGAACTGTCAAGTCTATTAGTTACCTAAGTTTTGTTTGTATATCAATTGTAAACGACTGTTTGTTTCCTAAATAAATAAAATAAAATAAACAATATACTCCTACTAATATAAGTCAACCTGGAATGTTTTTGCATTATCCACATAACATTTAAAGCATCGAGACATGTTATTTACATATAAATTGAATAAAAGGGGTCGGGATGAGAACCCTGTGGTGTTACGATTTTTTTTAAATTATATATCCCTTTAAGGCAACTGTTCGACTGCGGCTCCGTATATTTAGATTTATGTTGTCGAAACATTTCAAATATGGGTATACTCAGCATTTACCTGATAATCAGCGTCCATGGCGTTTAGAATGCAGTCAGTGTAAATGACAATGTTAGGATGGACACTGCGTCCACGAAAAAGTTGTTAATTTTACGATATATGACGGCTGACGGCGATATATCACCTATTTAGCATTTCCGTTACAAATATGGATAATTTTGAAATAAAATAGCGAATCAACCTACCTGAAAGCCTGCTCCAGCTGCTGGTCGCCGAACACGGTGGCGGGCAGCGGCCGGACGGCGCCGGTCCGGAGACCCTCGTTCATGCATCGCACGACCGCCGCCTTCTCGGCGTCGTCCCCGCCCGCCTCGAAAAGCGCGTCCAGAAGGATCCCGTGGAAGGTCGTATTCTTGAGGAACACCGCCATTCCCTGCGGATCGGAGGACGACGTCCGATGAACGTTTCGGACGTAAAGAATGCGCGATCCGAAAGCGGGGAGCGCGCTCGACTCACCAGAGGCGTATTGTTCGAGAGGTCGAGCTTGCCTATCTCGAGGAAGCGGCCGCCCTCGGCGAGGCAGCGCACGGAAGCCTGCAGTTTGTCGTCGGCGAGCGAGTTGAGGACGAGGTCGACGCCGCGGCCGCCGGTCCTCTCGAGCACGAGCTGCTCGAAGCTGGTGTCGCGCGAGTTGCCCACGTTCTCGTCCGGCAGCGCCGGGAAGCGCTCGCGCAGGAAGGCGCGCTTGTCGGGCGTGCCCACGGTGGTGAACACGGTGCAGCCCGCGTGCAGCGCGATGGCGATGGCGGCCTGCCCCACCCCGCCCGAGCCCGCGTGTACCAGCACGGAGGCGCCGCGCTGCATGCGCCCGCGCACCGCCAGCGCGTAGTACGCCGTCGCGTACGCCACCGGCACCGTGGCCGCCTCCTCCAGCGACCAGGCCGCGGGCACGTCCCACAGGAAGGCCGAGTCCGCCACCACGCTGGTCGCCAGCCCGCGCGCCGCCACCATGCCCATCACGCGCCGCCCGTCCGAAGCGCGCCCGCTGAACTCCAACCCCAAGATGCACTCCTGAGAACCGAATCGAAACGAATAAATTCGAGCGTCGCCGACCGACCCGATCTGTCCTTCGACATACTGAATTATCGAACTTCGGAAAGCGCGAGCGCCTCACCTGTCCCGCGAGATTTCCGGGCAGCGCGTCGGGCGGGAGCTTGCCGGTGGCCAACATGATGTCGCGGAAATTGAGGGGCGCGCAGTACACGCGGCACAGCTCGGTGCCCGGCGCGAACCGCGTCTCGCTCGCGAACCGCAGCGGGGATTCGATCCAGCGCAGCGACGCCAGGTCCCCGCGCGTCAGCGTGTTCACGTACGCGTGCTCCACCTGCGGCGGAAACGGAGACGGGTGAACGGCGATCGGACGAGCGGCCGAGAGGGCGAGGGGAGGGGGCGACGGGCGCTCACCTGCAGCGACGCCTCGCCGGTGTCGGCGAGCGGCAGGTGGCGGTAGGAGCCCCACACGCCGGCCCGCAGCACGTTGCACACGAGGTCCTTCTGCACCTGCTGCCGGTACGCGGGCGCGCTGGGATCGAAGGGCTCGCGCGCCTCGGGCAGGTAGTAGACGCGCACGGCGGCGCCGCCGGGCTCCGCGCGCAGGCACGTGCCCAGGCCCAGCGCGCCGGCGTCCTGGGCGCGGGCCACCACGTACACCCGCAGCGGCTCGGCCTCCGCGCGCTCCAGGGCATCCCGCAGCGGGTCCACCCACGAGTACGAGTCGTCCTCGCCGACCTCCACCACGATGTGGTCCGGCGGCGGCGCGACGCTGCAGCGCAGCAGCAGGTACTCGCAGGACGCGGCGACTTGGCGCGCTACCAGCGCCAGCCCGGCCCGCCGCAGCGCCTCCGCCGCGCCCGGTTCGTCCAGCGCCCGGCGCGGCTCCTCCAGCAGCAGCATGCCCCCGTCGACCAGCGCGCCGGCCAGGTTCCGCAGCGCGTCGGCGCCGTGGCCGGCGAGCACGTCCGCCGCGATCACCAGCTGGCACTCCGTCTCCGGCGGGCCGGCGAGCGGGTCCTTCTGCATCACCTTGACCCCGAGGTCCTGCAGTGCGGCGGTGTAGGCGGGCGCGCCGGCCGCGACGACCACGCTGGCGGCCACGCGCACCTCGGGCTCGCCGTCGAGCAGCTGCAGCGCGAGCGGCGTCAGCAGCGCCTCCGCCGGCCGCTGCGGCGCCGCCTCGACCATCTTGAGGCGCAGCGCCCCGCAATTCTCGAGCACGAGCTGCAGGCACACGATCATCGCGTCGCATTTCGACCGCGTCGCGTCCTCGGTGGCGACGGTCGCGTCGTCGTACGGCCGGAAGGCGTAGCGCTCGAGTTTCGGGGGCGCCTGGACGTTGACGCGGCGCGGGGCGAGGCTCACTTTGAGGCCGCGCAGCTCGACGCCGCCGCACGCGAGGACGCGGATGTTGCGGTAGAAGTGGACCGGGACCGCGTCGCCGCCGGCGACCGCGGCCGCGTGTCTCGCGGGGTCGATCACCGCCCGGTCCAACCTCGTAGGCAGGTACAGGTCTCGCGTGAGGCTCGTGATGAGCGAGAACTGCAGCATCGTGTCCATGAACGTCACCCAGTTGTCGGCCCACGCGAGGCGGCCGGTCGCGGTCGACGCGTCCGCGAATTTGACACCGCGGAACATGCCGTTGTAGTCGTAGCCGCGCAGGCGCAGCTCCTTGTAGAGGTCGTCCTCGAGGAGCGGGATCGACTCCGCCGCCGGGGGCGACGTCGGCGTCGACCCGAGGAACTCCCTCTCGGGATGTTCCGCGATGCGAACCTGCCCCGTGACGACGGCGGCCCCGCCCTCGCACACGTTGAATTCCCCGGTGCCCTCCAGAACGGTGACCATGAATCGGAGGGGAGTCTCGCGGTTGATGATGGTCGCCCGCTTGAATTGCACGTTCTCCAAGATGATCGGGGTTTCCTCAATTTTTTTGTTGTGAATCTTGGCTATCGTCCTCCAGACGAGCGTCTGAAAACGAAGGAGACGGCTTTAGCGATTTTCCACAGAGAAATACGACGAGGAAAGCGCCGAGCGGCGGCCGAAACTCACCAAGTATCCCGTGGCCGGGAACAGAATTCGGCCGTCGATCTGGTGTCCGGCCAGGAACGAGTCGTCGACGCGCGACAGATCCACCTCTATGACGTTCTCGCCGGACCGAGCCGGCGCCGAGAAGTCGGCGACCGCCCACTCGATGGAGTGGTCCCAGCGCACGCTGGAGGCGAGGCCGGGCGTGCAGCGCGGCACGGGCCAGGGCACGCGCGGGTACAGGCCGGCCACCTGCGGCTGCGCGCCGGCCACGTACGCGCGGCCCAGCGCCTGCAGCAGGTGGCGCAGCGGGTCGGGGTGGTCGCGCCGCACGAGGGGCACGTGCGCTGCGGGCGCGGGCACGGCGCGCTTGAGCACGGCCTGCAGCAGCGCGTGCGGCGCCACCTCCACCACCAGCGCGCGCTCGGGGATCGCCTTCAGCGCGTCCGCGAACCGCACCGGGGACAACAAGTTGTTCACGTGGTACGCCACGTCGCTCAGTTTGGCTGTCGGGGAAATAAAACGACGCATAAATACGGTTCGCGTTCGCGGTGAAACGGTCGGTCGGATCGAGTATTACGTCGAGAGAACATTCTTTTGCACGGGAATCCCTCACCTATTTCCGTGTCCCGCTGGTCGGGCGCGAGCGAGGAGGACACCCAGCGCGCGGTTCGCGGCTTCGGTTGCGGAATGATGCGCTCGAGACTCTTGCGCAGGAGCGGCGCCGCGGACGCGATGTACTTGCTGTGGAAAGCGACGCCGCTGCTGTTGACGCGCCGCGCGAACACGCCCTCCGCCGACAGCGCAGCCACGAATTTCTCCACAGACGGAATCGGTCCCGACACCTGCTCGCGATCCGGGAAAAGAATGATAGATATATGAAGTGAAATGAAATGAAAATGTCTTTATTCGAGTAAGCTTGCCTCGAGAACTTTCTTTATGTGATGTCTTTTAGCTGACAAGAAGAACAAGCGAAAGAAACTCACCGGCTCTTTATCATGACGTTTACATAAATCATGTCATTACATATTTATTCGAATTACGAATGATCACGAAGCATCGATATGTCACACCGAATACTGATCGTTCGCCTAGTACTATCTTTTTCACATTATTTATGAGCGATTTCGTAAGGTAAGAAAAATATATTTTATATTGTCCCGGCCGACGATAGAACCTCGATCGCCGAGGGGGAGCTTCGTTTTGAATTTGGCGAGCGAAGATCATATTATCATTTGTCTCCCGTTGTTTGTTCTTAGAGATGACAGTGACTCTTATGTATCAGAACGAAACTGGAACAAGTTTCTTAAAAAAATATGCACGAACAGAACGTGACAGATATGAAACCGCGTCATACCGTGACACTGTCGGCTGCGTTGTGGCACGCGGGGAAGACGTCCGAGGGGCAGCGGCGGAGGCACTCGTCCCAGCTGAGCCCCACGGCGGCCATCGCGCCCGACGGCAGCTTGGCGTCCACGATGCTGCGCCCGCGCCAGTACGCCGCCAGGACCGCTTGCTCCGCGCTCAGAGTTTCGTCAGCGTACGCGCAACCTGCCGTACGTTTTGAGAGATTTCGTTTATTCGACGTGCGATCCGACGCGGTCTACTTAAATCACGAGATAGACAGTGGACTGACCCATTTCGCCGACGGAGTGTCCCACCATACCGTCCGGTCGAATTCCGACCGAACGCAGGACGTCCACCAGGGCCACTTGCACCGACGTGATGGACACGAAAGAATTGATGACGTCTTCGAACGTGGTCTCCGGCGCCTCCGTGAGCACGTGGATCAGATCGACGCCCTGTTTACGCAGAGTCGCCGCCGAACGTTCGATGCTCTGCGCGAACACGGGCAGGTGCATCAGCGTCCGCGCCATTCCCGCCCACTGCGAGCCCATGCCCGAGAACACGAACCACACCGGGCGCGGCTCGCCGCCCTCGAAATCCTGCGATCGAAGAGAGCGAGAGGGTGAATACGGGCGAGTCGAGTCGGAGACGATCGGCTCGGTGTAGGCGTCGATAGAGAGCGTGCGATGGTCACCTCGACCTCCTCCTGGTAGTCCGCCAACAGCGCGTATCCGCGGTGGGCGTGTCCGGGCTGGTTGCGCGCATGCACGGCGTCGAGCAGCGCGTGCAGGCCGGCGTCGCGCGGATGGTTGGCGGCGAGCTGCAGCAGCGCGCGCACGGCGGCGTCGCTGCGGCCGGACGCCAGCACGAGGCGCGGCACCGCGTACGTCGCCTCCAGCGCGCGCGCGCCCGCCCCGCGCTCCACCTCCAGGATCACGTGCGAGTTAGCGCCGCCGAATCCGAACGAGTTCACCGCCACCAGACCGCCCTCCCACGGCGTGTTGCGGTCCACCACCTATCCCGCGTTAAACATACTTATGTTATTTTATTCCTGGAAGGAAGCTCTTTTTTATGTATTTTATAGACTAAAATAAATTTTATTTGTATTTATTAAAGCAAGTGTCGGGTCTATGAGTCACGTTAAGTTTAATTTTAATTTTAAAATTGTTAGTATTCTTAAATAAATTAAGAAAAAATCGTTCATTTTAGTTTCTTTTCTATCTTTTTCTAAATCGACATGCCAGAGTGATATATCTTATAGATATTTGAAATATCGGATATACCTTTATGCGTCCGTCGCTGAGAGCCGGGATATCCATGTTCGGAGACCTGTAGTGTAAATTGCCCGGAATGACGCCTCGTTGCATGGCGACGACCAGTTTGGCGATCGAGCACAAGCCCGACGCCGGTTCCGAGTGACCCATGTTAGACTTCACGGAGCCGAGCAGCAGCGGTGTCGTGCGATTCTCGCAGAACAAATCTGCGATCGCGTTCACCTCCTGCGGATCTCCGACCTGTAACCGGCGAGTCGATCGGTGACGCGAACCGTCGGAAAGCTACAGAACGTCAGCAAAAAACTGAACGAGTACAGTAAAATTTACCTTGGTGCCGGTGCCGTGCGCTTCCACGTAGACGACGTCTTGAGGACGCAAGCGCACTTCGTCGAAGGTCTCTTTGGCTAATTTCCGTTGCATACTGCCCGACGGGAAAGTGATTCCCTGTTCTTTGTACCCGTCGACGTTCATACGCGCGTTATGAACGGTGGCGTACACGCGCCGCGCGTCCGAGCGGCGCTGCAGCACGACGGAGACGACGGCCTCGGAGCGCACGTAGCCCTTCCCGCTGGCATCGAACGCCGCACAACGTCCGTCCGGCGACAGCATGCTCAACCGGTGGAAGTTGAGCGAGTTTCCCGGCTTGAGACATAGGTTCGACCCAGCCACGATCGCGGCGTCGCAGTGTCCCGCCCGAATCGCCATAAAAGCTTGCGAGAGCGCGAACAACGAACTCGAGCAAGCGGTGTCGACGGCGTAGGAGGGACCTTTGAGATCGAAAGTGTAAGAGATACGGTTCGGGAACATAGCGCGACAGCAGCCCGTGAGACCGTAACCGTTGATCTTGTCGGGGTCGGCGGCCCACATTTCTTCAGATTCCGAGTTGGAGACACCCACGTAGACGCCGGTGCGTGTGCCGCGCAGCTCGGCGGCCGAGTAGCCCGCGTCCACGATGGCTTCCTGGGTGGTCTCCAGCAACAGGCGCAGTTGCGGGTCCATGTTGTGCGCCTGCTTCGCGTGTACGCCAAAAAATGTAGCGTCGAAATGCTCCAAGTCTTTAAGTTTTCCATTTCGTTCAGGGAGTCCATGAAGTCCTACAAAAAAAGATATTTCACATTGATTCCACAAAAAATAATGAACTGAAAATTAACATTGAAAATTATCAATTTCGGATTCTCTAGACCGTTTAGTCACGATAGCTAGATCATGGTACATTCACAGTATTCGCTGGTATCGCGACATACGGTGGACGATGCCACCCGTTAAAGTGATACCGATACCCGCTATAAATACCGTTGCAGAGGGCTCTACTCTTGGGGATACCTAGTGGTTTACAGATGTTTGGATAATCATTCTAATTATCACTATCACTCTGACTATAGATATATAAAGTACAAGACAAGATTTTTTAATATATATTCGTATTCTGGGCTGATAATGTTATATCTTAATATAGTCCCAAAGCATTCAGTTGATTACGTTGTGCTAATTATAAAATAGATTGTTATCATGTAGTAGTTTCACATTGTATAGAGCTACTCTAGTTTCACACAGTTGGCAGACTATTGGACTACCTACTATTACTGTCACTGTGTTTTAACCGACTTGAAAATCAAACAAGGGGAAGTTATATATGTGTGTGTGACGGCTCTGTATATTTTTTTATGTACTATGTTCTCCGATATTTAACTTTTATGAAATCGAATTAGTAGTTTTGTTTTTATAACAATAAAATATGCTTTTCATCAAATATCACATAAATAATTAGATGACATGTTTATATCGGCGATTTTTCGAAATTTATTGATTTTACAAAAGATTGTGTACTGTGCGCATTAATGTATATTTTAGATATTTATACTTTTATATAAGTAGCCAAATAATTCACATTATTAAAGCCTATGTCCCCACTTATGATGTATCTTCGTCGGTGGCTGATATTTTTTACTATGTCAAGCCAATAAACAAAAGTTCCTTTCCTAAGACTTTCACTAAATAAATAGACATATATTTTTATGTAAGTAGATATTTAATATTTTCATATTTAAGACATTTAATAGTTACCTATTATAAAAAAATCATGAATTTTGTTTTTGTTCGGACTGTTATCATATACGAGTACTGGTAATAACCTACATAACACCTCCGCCCGACTTCTATAGCAATTTCTTAAATAATTTATTCGCTTATTTAAAAGATAAATCAGCATCATCATCAGCCCTTTTACTTCCCCACTGCAGGGGCTCAGGCCTTCCTTATAGATTAATGGATTAAGGAGAATGGGCCATGACCCTCCACGCAGGCCCAATGCGGATTGGACGGTATTAACGCTAGATGGCACCAATAGATAATTCGTTTATAAGTTAATGATCATTTAGGCAGTTTAAAATTACTGAACTTTTAAAAAGTTTTTTTTCGAACCCTAAGGGAATATTACCCTTTAGACAAAAATCAATCTTATCAAATGAGGCGAGTTGCAGGTGACGTCAACTGCGGCTGATGTTCGTGTCGTGACGTCAGCGTCGCGTCGCACCGGCTGATTTTGCCACAAAACCTGTTCTGTTATGCAATAAGCTGTACACATTACTAAAAGCCTTCAACCTATCTTGTGACGCACTTGCAGTTGTTTACTACATGTTCACACAACTTCTAATGTTTTGTTTGGTTACAAGTCACCCGTTATTATCGAATTTGCGAGTTCTCATATAAAATACAAATTTACACAGCAGGAGTCGCGCGACTCACAATTGTAAAAATAATAAATATTGCCCTGTTAACAATTTCGTGGTATTTAATCGTTACGAGAGGTAATAGGTGTTTGAAAAGTTCTAAATCATACTTCTACACTTACGTCATTGTGTGTTTGGATTAAAGGATACGTACAATCATGTGTATATTACATGAACTTTACTGTATCTTTTTAAAAGAAAAGGTTCTAGTAACAAATTGTCCATTATTTGTCTTAGAAATAAAGTTTGTTAGTAGATATTTATGTTTGATGATGGAATAGCCGAGCCGGCGTCCTGACCTAACTTATTGCGAATTTATTAAAACTATGTAATTAGATGTTTGAACTATTATTAAATTGTATACGATTACAATAATTTCCTAGTACCCTTTACAATAGATACTCTTATTTATTCAAGACGAAACACATAAATTCCAAAATTCCTTTGCGAACTTTCCAAAATGCGTTGAAGCCGTGTAATGCCATATGATGACGTTCGACTGATAACGTGATGCTGCATTCACGACTGGTGGTAGGGGTCGCGTGCGCACGCGCCGCCGCGCGCGGCCACGACGATGATGCGCCCACTTCACCGACCTGACAGCTTACATAACACTTCCGTGTACTTGTATATTTAACAAATTCATACCTACTTATGTTTATTTGCGTGACTGTTCCAATGGCAAAATGTGATGGACATTTTAAAATAATAAAGATAATATGCATGTAAATTAAATACTATTTATTGCACAACAAGAACATTACATAGACATACATTCAAGAGGGGGCTTTATCGCTAGCACCTTGCATTGGATGGAAAGAGATTATATGACAAGACGATACAAACATATAACAATTTAAAGTATCACTAATTATACATACTGTACGATCGAAACGCTCACGACACAAGTGAGAGGAAAATAGAAAAGCAGGCTACTCACCTGAAGGAAATGGGATTTTAATTGTGATTTGAACGAGTCTAAGGATTCGTCTAATAAGACTGGTAGAGGGTTGACTATAGATCTTGGGAGATCGGAAGGAATGAACATTCAATAGTTATTAGACAAGCGGCATTGGCATTTGTATTCAGCGTGTTAAATGTAATTTAGTCGTTTTAAACAACTCTGTCAACAAAGACAACGACAATCGCCGGCAGCGCTTCTTTAACTATATTTGGCGTCCAAAACATGCACAACCTAACCGTCAAAGCGCATGCCCGAAGAGTAGATTCGTACGACACACTGGCTCCACCACCGAGACATCATCAGGGGGGAGGGGGTTGTAAATGCAATATAAAGTTTCTGCCTTGGTTGGAAAAAGTTGTCGATCCAGGCCTAGTGGCGCCCCGGGCCTTTGATTTCATCCGGCACTGATTATAATGCAATTTTATTATACATATTTCAATTGGGGATGCTGCCAGTATTGCGTTATTTTAAAAGATATTGTTTGAAGTCAACTTAATATTTATTATGCCTTTTTTCACACATCACTGATAAAGTTCCATCATGATCAATCAGTTTTTACATCTCCAATTAACTTTATTCAATTACGGCAACATTACTCTTAAATTACAGTATTTATATAATTTTATGAAAATATATTTTTAGTGTTAGACTGCTTTATTCCTTAAAAATAATGAAGGATAAACTTTTTTTAATGATCTCATCAACATTACAGAATTCTTATATTAATGTGACACGAAAAGGATAAATTTTGCGCATTTTCTTATCACAAGTATTTGAGTAATGTCATGACTAATGACATTAGAGAAATTTAAAACGCGTTTTGAGATATGAACATTATAGGGTTATGCATAGGGACTTCCCATTCGGCGGCGCTTACGAAATTCAGAATCATGTTTGCGTAAGCCAAACATATAAATGATAATAATTACATTGTTCCGAATTTGGTTAGTATTACAATGTATTTAAAAATATTAACCGTATCGCATGCTTTTGGAGATGTACAAGCTTATTGAGAAGATCAAGTGTTAGATCTGGGTAACATGCATCGGCGCAGTCAAGAAGGGGCAAGAGGAGTCAATGCGCAACTGATATTATATTCTATATGTGCAAACTTGGTAAGAGAAGCGATCAGTTCCATCACATATTACGACTTTCGTTATGTATCGGCAATAACAACGACATTCGATTAACGCGTTATAATGATGAAACTAGATTGAATAATAATATACTTAATCATCCGGTGACGCCATGTTGAACAACTGATTCGATAAGTATAAATAAACATAAGCACTCTCACTGACCACTTGCGTGAGAATAATCCTTGAACTATGACAATCGATGATAACGTATGATTATAAGTGGTGCGAAGGCGCGCACATCTACGTCGTAATATCAAAAATCAAAATCAAAATTTATTTATTCAATTTAGGCTTTTACAGAGCACTTGTGAAAGTCGAAAACTACGCCATCGGTTCGCAAAACTACGGCGGGAGACCTTGTACTGAGAAGAACCGGCAAGAAACTCAGCAAGGGCTATTTTTTTCTCCCTGTTTTATTTCACACAGAGAAGTCTTATTGAAAAGTGACTTCATTAGAATATGAAGTCACTTTCCATTACAATATTAAATTAAGATATGAAAACCTGGAAAGGTTCCTACGGCAGACAACCTCGAAAGGTATATTTTTAATTTCGGTGACATATGAATCTTGCTACGAATCCCAAACTAAAATCAAATCAAACACGGTACACATCGCAAAGTCCAGAAAAAAGTCGTCGCCTCTATCGTCTGGTGGACAAAAGAGCTCAACGTTTGTTGTTTGTCTTTGATCATCGTTGCTACTTGAAGTCGTTTTTTCTCTCTATAACTTTAAGTTTGAACCACCGACGTAACAAACTTGTAGGCTTATCACGTTCACGTGATAATCACGCCGCTACCACACATTCAAATCTTTAATAAAAAAAATAAGCACTTCATTTTTCGTTCATTAAAAAAATATTGTAATCGAACACAATATAAGTTAAAATTCAAAATTAATCTTGAAAAATTCACTATGTGCAGGATTCGAAAGAGCATCTTGAAAAAAATGCCACCTGTCTTGAGTACGGACGGTACAGAGTTTCAATGATTCAAACTTGAGAAAATAAATGTTGAGGCTCGTGTCATTAAAAAAAGAATTTCGAATCCTTTAATAAAATAAAATGTCCCATTGATCGACGAAATCGAGAAAATTGGTGATTAGCTCCCATTATGAATGCGTCACCGAGTGCGAGGAGGCGAGGTGGGAGGGCAGCAAGGTCGAGCGTCGCGAGTCGACACGCAATGCTGCTGCTTAGTGTTGTTACACTATCGATATGTCTATCGTACTGGGACACTATCGACACTAAGACGATAAGTGATACTAACTATAACATCTCTAAAAAATAGCCTACCGTAACCACTATCCTAGGGCAGGCGAATAAAAAGGAAATTATATACTTAAACATTATATGAGCGTTGTCAATACACGATGCGTATCGTTTTACTTTCGACGCTTACATAATACAGTCCCTTATTACTTAATTATCCGTTCTGAGGCTATATAATATACCTAACAAATAAAGTCTCTAGCTATAGAGCGGCCGAATTTAATTTCTGCTTTTTTCCTTTATTTAATATCTCAAAACGCTAACTCTTCTTAACGCTAACAGCTTATCAAAATTACCTTTTCAAAATAAAAGATAAAAAAATATTTATTGTTTTTGTATATAATATTTTGTATAAAACTATACTCAAATGATTGATAAATCTACTAACATTTTAACTAACACCTATTCAGGAATGTTTCGACCGCCAGCAATCGAGGAACTCGTCAAAAGTAGCAGTGACATAATACGCAAACTTGATGTCATTCTCAAACATACAAGAAATTAATAATATATATACATAGATAATTAGTCGCACACATCGTTGTCCTTAAAATAATCTTTAACTATGTGTACTAACACCAAACTGAGTCGATAATTTTATTTAGTACTAGTACTACACTACTCTGCGTCTGCTAGGGAATGAAACTCCTGGTGCCCGCTACATTGAACTTGAGCTCGCCTTCACTATCGACCATTAGCTCTATTATCTAATATTATTCAAATCAACTCATAATTGATTACTAACAAATGATCTTCAAATGCAAAATATTTTTTTTTCATCTTGTGTAAATAATATACCTAAATAAATGTTAAACAACATCCGTACACTGAACAGAACAACGCAGGCACAAGAACAATCAGACCCGAAACAATATAGAAAGGTAGTTTTCCATATTTACCCAGCTGAGAATCGAACCCCAGGCTTCAGAAATGTTTATAACAAAATACAGGCGTTTCGGTCGCTCAAAAACAAAAATACTACAATTACAAACCTACTTATTAATTGTTTAGTTTTCAGCAATTTTATTTTACTTGTTTTTGTAATGGGTTAGTGTGAACTATAAGGGCGCTTGTGCACTACACTGAATTTTTAGGTTCGGCGGTCCGATTTTTTCCGGTCCGGAATGACATGAAAAACTCGGATGAGTAGCTTGTGCACTTGTCCGTTTTTTTCCTGATCGGAGCGGCGCAGTGTAGGGCAGCTCTCTTTGAAGCTACACGTCACTTACGCTAGGTAAAATGAAATTTTTGTAACGTCGGTAATTCCGTTCGAAGACGTAGAAAGGTACCTAAATAATGGTTTGATCGCTTTACATAAACCATAATAAATTATGGCAAGACGAAAGCATTTTTTTTACTACTATCGGATGACTACTATCAGATGTAAAAACTTATACCCTTACTAATTTAGAAACAGCATTATTCACATACAATAGCTAAAAATATCTGTGACATTAGAATAAAATTACTGATAATGGTCTAGTACTTGATGTTTAAATTTTTAAACGTGCTATTTTTTTTCGAAGTTTTGTAAAAACAACTTTCAGCGATTACAGAGATAGACCAATCGGTGGCGCCATTTCGTACGCAAATCGAAATTAGTGCCGTGTTAGCGGAGAATTATTATGCTAAAAGAACTTTACGAGATCAGTTGACTGTATTATATATAGGCATAATTTTATACACGTGGTGTAGTTTCTTTGAGCAGAAATATTATTCCCTTAGAATACTTTTTTTTTAAATTTATTAATGACACAAACATACACTTAAAATTTTTTAAATACGAAAAAGACATTGAGTGTCATTTAATTACTTTTGTTAGTCTTCTGTTTATTCTTTATTATTACTCCTGTTGTCAAATATTTATCTATACTTATCAATTGTCTAAAAAAATTTGATAATGACAAATTTCCAGGCAAACTTTCATCCCCTATTTTTCGCGAGAAAATGTAGCCTATGTCCTTTCTTAAAGTTTAGTCTATTTACTATATTAATTTCCATTTAGATGGGTTCAGTTGTTTAGGCGACTAAGCGTAACAACACTTATTTATCTTACCTTAAGCTATCGATACTTTTAATACGATTCTAAAATCTAGCTAAGTATCGATACTAGAACCATACGCTGATCAAAATAGAACTATACCAAGTTTACCAAAGCATATGCAGTGATATATACCAACTATATTAAATCGTCATATAAAATATAGCATTTTATAATCAACAATAAATATCGATAGTAAGTTTATTGGAAATTAACAATATTGCCGAAATAAATATCGATTCAAATCGATTACTTTTTCCCAAGCCTATTCCTTATGAATTTTCCGGATCGCGGACACAGCAGTGCACAAGCGTAAACACGTTTTTCATTGCCGCCATCACGGACCTGAAAAAACCAGTCCGGAATAGAGAAAAGTAAAATTCCGGACGGTAAAATTCCTGACAGTGCACAAGCGCGCATTACCTACATATGGCCTGACATATCGGACCGCCGGACATGAAAATTCAGTGTAGTGCACAAGGGCCCTAACTCTATCTCGACTTTTACGAAAATTCTAAAAAATGGGAATAAATCTTGAATGCTCCCGTGAATGATTTACTAAGCTGTGACGATATGATACTCCCGTGTGGTTAGAAGCCACTTGTAAACGTTTAAAATATGCAAACTAAAAAAAAAGAGTGTTTTATGTTAAAAACAGAGACTTGTCAGTCAAACAGATGAAGGTCATATACATTGTAACTCAATGTGCTGTACGGTTAAAAATAATAATAATTAGAAGTCGCAACATGTACGGTTACTACTTGTAAAATATGTATGATGTAAGTAAAATGAACAGTGACATTGAATGTGTTTTGCAGACGAAGGCATCATCGTACCGACCCCCGACACTAAATGTATTTGCCCCGACTCATACTAGGTATATGCTGTTTATATATAATGCTGTTTATTATGCGCTCAGACTAAGATTTTCCTTTTAATACCCATTATCAGCTTTTCTTCGCATGAAAATGCTCGTTTCATACCGTGAAAGTTAACAAAATACTTATAATAAAAAGATACCTGAAGAGAGCAAATACAACTATATATGAATTAAATGCCGTAAATAATAATACAATACACTAAGCTTAGCAAGGGGTTAAAGAAAACTTGCACGCATACATATTTATAGTCGAGAAAAATATTTTACTTGAGAAAGTGACATAAGTTAAGCAAATATTTTTAACCAATGGACGAGAATTTGAGTAAAGTAAAGACTTTTAATATTGAGAGCTAGTAATTAAAACAATATTCTGACTATTAACAGTTCTTACATCATTCAATTTCTTGCTAATTTGGCAAAAATAAGGAAAGTCATTTTACTTGCCTCGACTATAGATACGAGAGTGAGAGTCGTGTATCAACTAAAAGTGTTACAATTGGTAACAATACATAAAACAAAGTGAAGCAACTTGGAGCAGTATGTGGAATCCACATTAATATTGACATATACAGTTGTTGTATGTCGATTTAATGTATATGCTGTTGAATACAATTGTCTAAATTAAATATAAAGGGCATTGCCCACTTTACATAGTGTCCTTAGTCCCAAGAAAACCAATCAAATAATTACTACTAAAATAGACTATTTTAAAATTTCAACATTATTGAATGTCTAAAAATATAATCTTACTGATGCTATTATTTTAGAAATATTTAATAAATGAGGTTCTATATGAAAGCGTGGAATAATTTTGGAAGTTTCCTTTTTCAGTTGATTACAGTGGCGTAGCTACCAAGGGGCTAGGCGGGGCAGTGCCCTGGGGCCCTCAAGCTCAGGGGGCCCTCGAATCTTTGTCAGAAAATCTCAATCGAACTCAACTTTTGAAAATTTCTCCCATATTCAAAATAAATATGACAGGTGACAACTCGAGTTTAATCATGGCAACTCAGTTGTAAGAAATTCCAAAGTTATAAAAAGAGAATTCCCCTAAATTATTTGTATGGGTTGACAGTGTTATTAATGTTTTCATCAATTTGTCGGATATCAATATCTGCATATTATTATTTATCGATATGCGGTTTTGTGATTCGCAATTGTGAACTTCGAGTCAAGTTTATTTCGAGCAGAGGGCCCAATTTTTTTATTTGCCCCAGGGCCCTAGGTTACCTAGCTACGCCACTGGTCGATTACGATCTATTCTTCCAGTAATTATGTTTGTTCAATGTCTTTAATAAAGGGTAGATTTTGGTTTAGACAACATTAAGCGCATCGACTATTTAAAAATAATAATAAGGCCTAATTGTCTTCTATAATATCTCCCTAATGTCCAGATACGTAAACTTTATGATGATTATGATAAAACACTGTTGAATTGCTTAAATTTAGCAGTGAACCAACTTATTACATAAAGTAGGGTTAAAGTAACACAGATCAAATAAGGACGCAATTTTTTCCAAAAAAACCACTCATTTTTATTCTTTACTAAGAAAAAACATACTATTGTTAATTTTCAACATCTAAATGATTAACTAATACCATTTGGACTATTAAAACGATTTATTTAAAAATACGAAAAGCAACATCATTATAAATATTACTTTACTCTTTGGTCGTTTTTATCAGTTTTTTATTTTATATGATTTGGCAAGAAATACGCTAGCAAATTAATCCCTTATTAATCAAAAGTAACACTCAAATTATTATCGTTCTTGTGATTATAATTTAAGCCTGATTTCAGCACCCGATTATAACAAAAATAAATACTATTAAAACAAGTCACTGTTACCTGGCGGCCAGCGGCGGTCGTCGGCCGAGACGAGATCCACTCCTTCGAATAACTTCTGCGCGAATTCTTCAATGGATTCAGAGTCGGGAAGTCGACCGGATATGCCCGTAAGAACGATGTCATCGTCAGCGGCTGTCTTCGCTCTGTTAAACGTCGCGCTCGGCATCTTGTATTGTCTCTGTTTAAACTATCTGTAACGAAATATTCACTTGAGCTCAATGCACTAGTGAAACGATGGCAAAGCTCATCGAGCGGGGTGGGTATCGCGCGGGGTAAGATCACCTGCGGGACACTTTGATGCTCGATGTCGAGCTATGGGTCCCAATAAAGAGGGACGCGACGTTGACGCGAACGAGTGCGCGAGCGGAATGCTGCCGCTCACGAGATACGTCCCGTTAAAAGAGTGTGATAGCGGGGTCGAGATGGCACGGGTTATCGCGCAAGGACGAGGAAGGTCGGCGAAATCGTCCCCTACATTAGGTAGCGCTTCCTATATCACGGAATCGCCCATACACACCGTTTAAACAGTGACAGCATTTCGATTCTAAGTAAAACGCTTAGGTTTTCGTCTTAGGCAACACACCGATGGCGTGAATCGGTACCGTGAGGAAGCGTATAATCGCCTTATCAATAACTGTAACCCAACTTTCCCTATAATCGTGATGTAGGCGCACTGTCCGATTCGACCTCCGCGCGATTATCAATACAGTTGATTTTCTGACCTCTCGATTAAATACGCAAGTAGCCAGCGTGCTGATCACGCGCACGGTTGCGCCCGCGCTGGCCGTCACATGCGCGTCGCGCTTCTGTCGACGACCACCTGCCCAACCAAACAAGTAACACTACGATGAGTTACATTGAGTTCGTTCTTTTTAACTACCAATTTTTCATGATATTTTATAACACTATACTGCATTACAATCTGAGCATATTTAAACTAAATAATAGAAAGACAACGTGACCACCGCGACCCGAGGCAATTAAAACAGTTCGTATCCCACATCCATCAGTGACATATGTACCATATCGTGGCAGCAGATTCTATAGAGGTAGCGAATGTAGATGCCGAACCTGACGCCAAAGGTGGTCGTGTTGTTTTTATATTCATGTAGCTTTTATATCGTATTGTTTTGACGTAACCTGTCACACGGAATATGTTTAGCTACACAACAACTGCATTGTATTTAGCTAACCTACCTAAGTTTGTGTGTTGTAAGCTAACGCACAAACACGAATCAATGATCGAGCAAATTATCAATAACGTCGAATGAAGTCATGGTGCGTGTGAGGAGTGTCGTAGTGGTGGCATGCTGTGTAGTGGCTGGTAGTGGGCAGTCGCCTCAATCGTTCCTTTGTATGCCAATTATTGCTTCTCGCGACAGATTGCCTCTAACTACCTTTGAAGAGTTTCAAATATATAACCGCTGGTAAGTCCACTGACTTGGTTATAAACTTATAAGTTTTGAGATGCTATACCTATTGTCATAAGGAACCTTGGTTTAACACTTCGGTTAGGTAGGTAGTATACCTAGTCTAAAGTTTTACTTAACTAAGGACCTATGCCGACTATAAACAATGGTTCAGGGTAGATATAAAATCCTTATAAAGATATTGCTTAATATTAAATATTAAAAATAGAAAGGAGCCTGTCTATCAGCCAGTTGCACAAATATCCATTATAATTGACATTAGTTTAAAATGACATTGCCCATACAAATTTGACATTCATTAGAGCTTAAAGGCGTCATTAAACCTTAATGGATGTTTGTGCAACTGACTGTTAGTATATGATCTTTTCTTTAGTATTATTTTGTTTCGTTTCTTTATTATATTTGATCAACTTTCATCTTTATCGAAAGTTTAAATATTTCTTTTAACTGTTAGGGTGAATTGCCCTGAACATTGATGAAAATACGCTCTGTAGTAGCGAAAAAGTAACAAGAGCTTGAAATATTCGTCAGTCCCGTTAGGTCCCGGGTAGCTCAGTGGTTAGAGCAGTCGCCCGGATTGGGAAAGGTCATAGGTTCGAGTCCCATCTCAGGGTGCCAGAGACCAAGTGGATTTGTTAAGCATTTTCATTAAGAATATTTTTCAGTGTTTCTTTATTTTTATTTCGTCATGTTTTGTCGATGTATCGTAATGAATTATAAATACTTCTCAACTGACGAATTGGAGTCGTAGCGTTTGTAGACCACTGATGGATATGAATTTTTAATTACTTCAGGATAATCTGATGCAGGCGTCTGTACCAGAGGTGGGTAGTCCATATTCGACAAAACGGACGTAATTGTCTGTTAGAGACCGTGTTCAGGAGCCACGCTCAAACTATGCCACATTTTGATGATGGACACGAAAACTAAGTAGTATCATCTGGATATGACATTTGATTTTAAATTTTGCTCAAATAAAATTATAATGTGAGGTTTGTTTTTAATTAATTCTAGAATAATTTACAAATCGACTGAAGTGTGAGGGGGTGATTAGGGATCGATACTGATGCCAAAAATGCAATCAGTAAAATTTTTGTCTGTCTGTCTGTATAACCGTTATAGAAACAAAAACTACTCGACGGATTTTAACGTAACTTGGTACAATTATTTTTTATACTCCTGAGCTGGTTATAGTATACTTTTCATCACGCTACAATCAATAGGAGCAGAGCAGTGAAGGGAAATGTTGGGAAAACGGGAGAAGTTACTCCATTTTTTAAGCTTCCGTCGCGTGTGCAACCTTAATGGTTAAAGCTACCCAGAAATCATGTATGACGGAAATGTTCTCCTTAAAATTATATTAATAATATCCCACGACAGCATATATCTTTTATGGTTGACTCACAATAACACGTGTAACTCCCGATAGCTTAGCAGTTCGGAGCTTTCTGATTGTATTTGTCTATTGTCTACTCTTACGTTTATAACACTCTCAGTCATCCCTAATTAAAAAAGTTAAATCACGCCGAAACTACTGAACAGATTTTGATGAAATTTGGTATACAGATAGGGTATTAGCTGACTTAGATAATAGGATACTTTTTATCCCACTTAACATTTCCCTAGGGACCACGCGGGCGAAGCCGCCGCTGGCGAAAGCTAACCCAAATAATCTTTCATAATACCATATTTTTAACTAGCAACTAAGATTTAATAGTATGGCAATGAAATGAATCTGCAGTGTTGCCTCATATTATTACTTTCACACATTTTAGTAGTCTCTGATAGTTGTCTTTTACCAAAAAATTATATTTATCCAAGTTTTTAATATCCAGAAATACATCTTATTAAGTCAAGTAAATAATACAGTTGACTTTTATTTTTTTTGAGTTGCAATCGTGTTAATTTTATTAATTGGAAGGCATCATTGTTAAAATTAGTAGTAGTTATTTTTGTAACTGATTTAGTGTCGATAATGGCAATTTGTTTTGTTGTTGTTCCCGCTTGTTCCATGCGATTCCATCACAATTACTTATTTCCTGCATTTTCTTATCATTATAACGTCGAGATGAGCTTTTGTTCCTCCTTTTAATGTGCTTAGAAAGTGGATTCATAGTTATTTGTGAAATTTGAGATAGTGACTCTTTTCTGTTGTTGTGGTTGTTGAAAATATGGCTGATAAAGAAAACAGAAGAAAATGTTTTAAGTGTGGACGTTCGCCAACCCAGCATAATGTAAAGCTCTTTCGTTTTCCGAAGCCGGCTAAAAGGAATCTTATACGGTACTTGCTTTAATCTTCTATTTATAGATTTCCAAACTAATGAATAGTACGTGAAGTTCCGCTACATTTTAACAAGAGAATATTCCCATTATGTAATGCTAGTGTTAGGTGTTTTATTAGCAGTAGAGTTAGAATTTACATAAATACTTGTATTTAGTTGTAAAAAATATGACTTGAGTCAAAGAGCTTCAGTATTAGGTATGTCATGCTAATCTGTATGAAAGAATTTTATGTTATTTCTGATAAAAGTGATGCTGTAGGTGAAGGTGATTAAGGATGTTTATCGATTACGAACTAAAAATTAAATTAGTTTGTTATAAAATTCCTAGGAAAATGTAGCTCTATCTCTTGTACTATAAGGATATAACATTCTTAATTTCGTTGTATTTGTTTTCAGATGTGAATTGTGGGCTAAATATATTTTCCACAAAGGACGGAATTCATCAACAGAATTCCAAATGAAATTGTACACCGAACATATTGTAGAATGCTGTCTCAAAATGATTTTCTTGATAATTTGGTGCACACATTAAAATAATGCTGACGGCTTGTAAATCAGTGTTAAATTAAAGTTAAAAACCAAACAGTATGTTCAAAATTCACTTAATTTGTGTAATAAAGCGGTATGTTACAATAATAATGAAAATAAAGTGTGTTATTATAATCTGCTTGTGTTATATTCCCTTTTTGAAGTAGTCCCTATATTTCACCTAGATTAACTACCAAATTACTAAAACCTGTGTTCCCTGTGGATGTTTTTCGTTTGTGGAATTTGTGTATGTTATGGATTTCGTATACGAAAAATATTCACCGAAAACACTGGTTTTAGTAATTTGGTAGTTAATATGAAACCTAAGTATAAAGTTAGTATTTAAACTTCCCGCCATACTACTTGTTCCGGAGGGCTGACTATAGGTGGCGCTAGTTTCTATGGAAAATATTTTTCTATGAAGTTGGCATTCTTCTCGTAGAGTAAGCATATAGTAATTGTCTGTAAAATTATAATTTATATGAATATAAATAAAAAAAATGTTAGTTTTCAATATTTTGGATACTGCAATGTAAGTTGATTTCAATTATAAGTATATGACCGATCATATTAAATAGCGTGAATCCTATTAAATATGATTAATCATATATAGGTATTATAAGCTGAAGCTTATAATGGACATGGAGTATAAAATCACGGAAGTAGGATTCCAAGCGAAAAAAACATTGCGCTGCTGAAATTAAGCATCGAATAGTTTACAGTGAACGCACGTATAAGGTTTTCTATAGTAAATTCTCATCAGGTTAGGTTTATGTCTGGTTGGCAGCCTGCATTGCAGGGCCTCACCTGTCTGGGAGAGGCTCTCGATGGACCCGAGCCTCTCCATCTGCGATGGGACCAATAGTCAAATACATGGGTTTCCTGGTGACTCGGCTGCGGCTGGATTGGTTCAAGGAGAAAAGTCC